GGGTTTGTCCGCCTAAGGAAACCACCTGCTTCAGTTAGGGCACCTGGGCAGTATCACAGCCCTCACATAAATCAAATGAGATTTGTGCGGCGCATATGTATCTGGTGCTTCCTTGTACCAATATTTATGTGTTTAAAGAATAATAATGATCGAATACTAGTAACCTACGAATATCCTCTACTCATACAGGCCATGTTTCACTGCCATAAAGTGGGACGGAATGAACTGCTAAGCAGTAAACTCGTCCTTTGGTTGCTAGACGGATATCTCGCCTACGTCATAAATAACGAAAGTTGGCAAAAGCTAGACGAGCCTTCTGTATCTGTACTGAGATTTCGTCACACACTAGACCACAAAGGCTGATGAGATGCGGTCGACACGCTCAACTACTTCACTCCCCATTATTAGTTCAGGTGCCAATGCAATCCAATCGTGAAGTAACATTTCGCATTTCGACGGGGAGAATCGCATTCCGAGCATGCTTGCATTGTTGCTAATAGTGGTCAGAGGATTCTGCATTTTGTCAGCGACTTCACTAAATAGAACTACGTCACGGGCATATTCTAAGTCAACCAATGGATCTCCCAGTAAAAGTTCAACTCCTGGAGATTTAAATGAAGAAAGTGTTATCTATAAAAGCACGTCAACGAGAAAGTTAAACAAGAATGGAGGAGTAGACAGTCCTGACGAACAACACTTGAGGTAATCAATCCTGATGACACTTCGCCATAAGCTCTCACTCGGACAATTGTGTTCGAGTAGAGAGCCTGTATAAGGTTAATGTACTCTTTTGGTAAATTTATATTCTTAGTGAGAAGCAGTGACCAGTAGAGTTCAACCAGGTCTGTTGTGAGATAGTAACTCACTAAAGACAATGGTGGACAGTTGCTCAATTTCGTGGATTGGTTGAAGTTAGATATTAACACCGTTGGATGTCGGCTCGCGTGCGGAACTGATAGGTCCTAGGTTCGAATCTAACGAGACGGGATCGTGGATGCGCACTTCTGAGAAGTCCCACAATAGGACGAAACGGCCGTCTAGTGCTTCAAGGTTTTCCATGGTGGTCTGGCTACAATTGATTTATAATTTCCATTATAAAATTACTAAAATCTCCACAAAACCCCCTTCTGATAATTTATAATCCCGCAGAATTTAGGTTCCAATACTACCCCGACTATGTTGCTGTTGATTTTTTAGAATGGTGCTGATATTGTATGGGAATTAGGGTTGGTGTACAATATTTCAAGGTTTTAAGTTGATGACTTGTTTGACACGAGATCACTCGAAATTTACGGGAAATTCGCCGCTTGGTTTTACGAACGAAATGTTAAGGTAGCAGCATTTTTTGTTAAAAGAAAAAAACTTGTATTAACATGTAGACAACCACCCATATAACCGAAATTCTATAAGATGTATATGACTACAGGAATAGTCGAACCAAGCCTGAACAGAAAACTAGTCACTAACATGCACCGAAAAAAATACAGTAAAATACTTCTTATAGTTACAATCATATCGATCCACTGGTTCAACGATAAAAAAGTTTATCATAGTAACTATTTACATTTGAGTAAAAAGTGAATTTTTAATACAATAATACTAATTTCTTTATGGTGTTCCATCGAACAGTAGAATCACGGGATTTAATTACCTGAGTACCTCGACCGTATATTTTACCATCAGGTGTAATCATACCACTGAATGGAGGATATGACCATTTTTCTTCGAATACTGGTACTACGTCCATATGTGAATTTAACATGATTGCCGGTAATTCCGGTTGATATCCATCCCAACGCATGATGACGATAGGATTATCTGGAACGATTTCAACTACATTGCATATAAGCTGTAATTCTTGACCCAATTTAACAAGCCATTCAACAGCAGGTCGATAGCATGGATTAGGATGAACTGTCACAAATTGTAAGTATCGAATGAAATTCTTCACGGCAATTTCATCCAAGTACTTCTCGTTATTATCGTTCATTGTAAAACAAAATTAAGAAACTATTTTTGTGAAACACCGCTGATCATACACCTTTAACACAACATGAAATAAGATTATACAATAAAAATAAACAACTACCGCAAACTATTTATAAATTTCAAAAGCACAATCTGCATATAAAAAACAAAAACCACTGTGTTCAAATAAGTCAGTTGTTTCGATAAAATTAAGTACGTCTTTATGAAAATAAATATCATATTAAGTAGTTTAAAACTACAAACGAAGCAAGATATCATAAAGTAACATGAAACAACTGTTTCCGAATAAATGTCCAAGAGAATAAGAAACAAACTTACATAGTAAGTCTAAAAAGCCAAAAATGAACAAAGTAAGACCAGAGACAAATGTCGCGTTAATCCAAGTTGCTATGCCACATTTGTATGATGAAATGAAAGAAATAAGATAAATACCAAAGGAGTCGAAATAATAGTAGTGTCAATGTTATTGACAAAAACTATAGGTTGGAAATATGGCTCGAGAAGAAGGAACGTAAAAATATGTATGGAGAGATACTAGAACTCAAAATGTAGAGAAAGATAAAGAACAAATGGATCTGCACTATTGTCAACGACTGGGAACCATTTTATCTAATGTCTCAAAACACTAATATCAGTTATTTTGTGGACCCCAACCAGGTAAACTGCATCTATCACACATGAGTTAGACCAACAGTCACCTACCTCGGGTTGGTGTCACGTCTTGGTTTAACAGTTCTTAGATTTATTCTGACAGTCTGGCTCCAGTCAATACTGAACTTTGAGGTATATGGTGTCTGAGTATAAACAACACATGCCTCAACTACTTCAGTCGATGGGGGTTCACAACCACATGAAACCGGTTGACCATCTTTGCCTAGTACTCTATTTCCAACCTCAGCATTGTTCACTCGGTCGTTCCACAATATGCGAGCAGTGCTTCGAAGATACTTATGGTCAAAAACCTGCAACACATTCATGTCTTCCACTGTCACAGACCACATTTCTCAGCCATAAAGAAGTACAGAGAAGACTGGCCAGATGTTTACAGACCCTTTGGTTAGCGGATAGACATTTTGCCTGAACCTCAGTGACTATTTCCTAAAATGCAGCTGATACCTGCGTCAAATTTACCACTAAAACTTGCCCCCCACTCTTGAAGATCTCCGGAATTAATCAGTCAGAGCCTCCTATCCTCCCTTGCAGTAGATTAGATTTTCAAATCCGAGCCACAGTCGGGGGCCCAAGGTTGTTTGAAAATAATAAGTAATGGAGGGTAGCGTAAAGCAGATGAACTGTTTCCCGAAATTTTCTACCCACCAGTCTTAACTACTAAACAGAGGGAATGGTGTTTGTTTTTTTTCCGAGGTATTCTAAAAATTCCATTTTTAATACCTGTTTGCTTGGTGAACCGGAATAGTTTTTTAGTGCCGTCTAACGCCGCTGCTTTATCAGCCTCTTTTGCTTTTTTCTCACACTACTGCTCAAGATCATCCCGTTGAAATTTTTCTCCTTTGCGTCCAAGTTGTTGTTGCCTCTTTTTACCGCTCTTTGAGCCTGCTTAGATGAGTTTTTTAGCATCAGTCAATTTAGTAGATAGCAACAAAATCCACTGGCTTAAATTGGTTTACTTACAGGTGTTTGGATATCATTCCAAGCTTCTTCAAGACTAACTGTTTTTCCCCGATCAACCAGGAGCTAAGCTAACTTTTCCCTTTATGTGTCCTTGACGCTTTTCTTCTTCCGAACGATATTTAAAGGGTCTTCTTGTTGTGACTTTCCTACATCCGGTAAGACACATTGAAATGCTTGCTCTCAATGGTGTATGACCACAGTCCGAGGATTTGCCTTAGAAGGAGCGACAGAATCCTATCGGGTCTCTCCAGGTAACGACTGGTGATATGATCAATTTGTTCGCAACGCTTTTCTGATGTCTGGGGTAACCATATTAGACAATGTCTCCCATTATGCTTAAAGTCTGTACTTGACAGGAATAATAAGTAGCAGATCACCACCGTGTGCAGGTTCGACCGGGATACCATGAGATCCACCTAAGTGTTTGTGCTCCATACTGGCTAGTTGAGATCAAATGGATGACAACGCTAGGATTTTGTGTTTTGTTGACATGGGATACATCGATGAGAAGAAATTCTACGGAGTTAGATAGTGATACTTGTCTTCTGATATGAAAAACTTACTGTTAGCGTGTGTTTAATATAGCTTTCAGAAACGAAAGCTCAGAGACTTAGTAACGTGACAAAAGAATGTTTATAACCATGGAGTAAGCCTTTGTCTATGATTGCCCTGCTGAGATAAATTTCCTAGTGAAATGATCATCATTTCGAAGCCGAGTTTAAAAACATAAAAGAACTCAAAATAGCTAACTCATTTATGAAATGCGGTACCTATGAGGAAACGTTATATCCTATGAATTCATTGAATCAACTACATTGCAGTTAGGCATAGGTTTCTAAGTGCAGAAACCAAATTAGTTGATTTAATGTAAATTTTCGTTCAAGTACTACCTACGATATTTTTGGCGATGTACACTTCAGTGTACTATTGTAGTGGAAGCTACTCACAAGATTTCTGTAATTAGTGTGCAGCGGAACGTAGCGTCAAAGTTGCAACAACTGTCAGATGGAGTAAAGAGTTTCAGTCCATCAAAAGCACGGTGTTGATAGAATACTTGGAGACCAGTTGATTAGACAGTTCAGGTGGCAGAGTACATTGGAAGATGCTAATGATCAATTGAAAGCTATGCATGTGTATTATGTAAATACGTTGTAAATTTTCGTTATAAAGATACATTTTTCCTGCCTATTGTCGTGTTTTACACTATATTTGCTTCAGTCGAATGGAAAGGTTATCGGGGTAGTCACATCGGAGAATGACATTGATAGATTGAAGTGCCAACGTAGATAAAAGTGAATCTAAAATCTACAACCAACTACTTTTCTTATCAAACCATTCATATTAACCAACACATACAAATAAATTATAACAAAACAAAGTTAAAAAGAATAACTGAAATTTTATTACACACTAGGTACACAGGTTTACAAAATCCAGTAATAAAGTGGATTTGTAAAACTATAGGTAGCACCTCCTCTTTCTTTACCTTATCACTTGTATGATTGTTTGTCTACTGGAGTCGATGGCTGAAAATTGACAGGAGATGCAAAACTACTTGTCTCAATAGATAGTGATGTAAACTTTTTCCGTTTTCGGCTTTTACGTTCTGTTAGAGCGACAACCCCTTTTAATACAGGTGGTTTATACACACAAAAGTCATAACTGTATTCAAAGTTAGACTGATTGTTACTATCATGCATACCATGAACAATCTCACTTCCAAATGACTGAAGAACGAGAGAAGATAGGTATGACTGAAATTCAGTGATAGTAAATTCATGGGACGGTGAACTATAATCATATAATTTTGGGCTGATTTCCACATCTTCCCAACTTTCTTTTTTCTCGACTAATGAAGACTGAAATAAGAAAACATGAATAAAGAGAGCAAATGCGTTTAATATTGGAAATGGGTCCACAACAGTATGGGATTTACTTATAAACGTTATTACTAATATTTTGTCTACGGATCAAACTTGGGTAGACACGAACAAAAAGTCACGACCGCTGATTAAATTATCAAGATCACTCAGAAACTGACTTAAACTGGTGCGATCATTATTGATGTTAGACGTGGAAAAATTCAAGAAACCTAGAATATGAAAATTAACATGAGATTTTTGACAAGTCTCACTCCATAATGTATTAGAACATCATGACAGACATTTATATAACAATTTATCTGTTAGAAACGATAACTTGAAGAAATTTTGTATTAAGACTGTTTTTTTCTTAAATAAAGCTGTCAACAGTTAAGCCTCATCATCCAGGAACTTTAAACTGAATCTAGGCAGTCACATGAACGATTGTAAGAGGTCACTTTTATCTCAATATTACAGACTGAACTGTCAGTTCCAAAACTCTAATCTGCAGTTTTGAAGAAATATTCAAATAACCATTAAGGAAAGAATATTTAACGCGAATGTGCAGTTTATCCTGGCATACTACTGTGGAATTATAAATTAAAGGGGGGTAGCGAAATTTAAAGCACTTCTAGTGTGTTGTGGTACACGAGCTGATCATGTGATGATCAATGATTTATCTAACCTTACTGTTAGACTAATATTGATAACCAGTATGTCGAACAATACAATCGCTTATGCTTTCAATGAATATTTGTTACAAACAAGAGGTAGTTGAAGCCAGTATGGAGATTACTATAATAAGTCGATTAGTACTTAACTGCGAAACACACTGCTAAAACAGGTTTTAGCTTAGCTTAACCCATATGCTAAAGTAAACACACATTTACATTTCCCTTTCCAAAGGCCAACACCGTTTAACTTTACCTGAACTGGGATCAGTAATTGTGTAAAAAAGAATAAAAATCGGCATCACTGAGCTTTGCAGATTTATGAATTTTAACAGAATCATTCATCCAGACAGTGAGTTGGCAGTTTTTTCTTAGCTCTAGGGTTTAATCTTATTCATACGTCTACATACGTGCCTCTGAGTATTTAGTAAGGATACAGGAGTAAAAACTGTGGTAGTTGTTAGTAAAATATAATGAATACAGAGGAATATAGGAGGATGGCTATTAGTCTCAATCAAGAAAAAAGCATTTTGATTGTTTTCGTGAGGTTAACGCAAGCATTGGTTTCAGTTGTCCACAATCTGAAGGTTAACACTTTTCCAAAATATCCCAGTTGCACAGTTGTTACAGGTATGGCGGTAGTTTGAGAGTTTCACTAATAGTTGCACAGTCGGGAACAAAAAGCTGTACGATAAGACGGAAATGCACAAGTTTTTGTTAAATGCACCTAATCTTTTGATTTGCGAGTAGAATAACAGTATAGCTGAGTATTCTGGATGTCCAGAAGAAAGCCATTACCACCATTTTATTTCTGTATCAATATAGCCTATCATTTGAATCCGCATTGCAAACTAAATAATTAACAATAGGTTTTAGTCTCAACACTCTCTGATCAACCTTAATACCAAAGAAAGACCAGTATTTCAGACGGTCCAGCGTGACTGGATCACCACTGAAGAAAATTCCGATCGATGTGACTAGATAGTAGCTATAGATTGGATGAGTACAGTAGAATAAACGGTGTGTTAGGAATAAAAGGTCACTGAAAATGTACTAAATAAATATACAGCCCAAATGCAGATTAAATGCAAATGCTTTGCAGTTATATATAATAATGGACATTAGGTATTTCTGAGAATATATATATAAATATATATATATATATATATATATATATATATATATATATATATATATATATAATTAAAAGGTGAGTTTTAATTAAGTCTGTAGAAATGCAAGGGTATAAACTTACGGCTTTTGGACAATTAATAGTTATTTCATATGACGTCTCGCGTTTTTTAATGTCCATTGGAACTGAAATGCTACTAGTATTATCACCAAGTGTATGAAACTTGATCTCGATTTCTTTACAAATGTCAGAGAGATCTGATGGAATCTCATTAGATAAGCAAAACCCCAAAACTGCCAGCTCCAAAAATTTGAAACAAGATTATGAACATTATGCAACTGAAGTTATTTAACGAACGGTTGAAGATAAGTAATATTTGTAAGGTTAATTTAATGTGCGTTTCTGAGTCTACATAAATACCAGTACAACAAAGATTCTGGTATATTATCCAATTTAATATAATCAGGTTAGTTGACCAAATACATATTCTCGTACTCAGTTTTGAGACACGTCTTTGTTCGTGTGAGGACTATTGAAGCTACCAGACTAAGCACCCAAGTGGGTGGAATGACTTTCAAAGCTACAAGGTCATGGTTATCCTGTTTGACCTGATTCTGTCTGAGTGAATTAAAGGATTAAAAACTAATTAGCTACTACAAATTATTTTAAAGCGGATATTATATTTGTAATGCATACATACGTTTTATGGCTTGGAGAAACAGAATTTACCCAATTACCTAGTACAACAATATTATTGTTAATATATCGGTGTAAATTTCAGGCTTTTACTCACGTATATCAGATTAAATTTGAACTTGTATGACAAAACACGGTAAGATGTTGACTAATATAAAGTTTTAAACGGTAGCTTCTATAATCATCCAACGCCTAACTAAGGCTCGTGGAGATCAAACTCGGTGAAATCAGGCTGGTTGGAAACCTAGACGTGAATATATTAACTAGAACTTCACTGCTCGTCTGCTTTCAGAACTAAGCATACTTGACGATCTACAACGTTAGTTGTATTTTTTAACTTGATAGGTTGCTGTTTGACAAATCGTCAGCAGGAATTCAGGAAGTTCGGTTAGCTTTCATTCACTAAGGGTCACTTGTGATATAGATATTATGTTTATCTACAAAGCAAAGGTGACTGTATACAGCTGGCCAGTCTTCTCTGTACTTCTTTATGGCTGAGAAACGTGGTCTGTGACAGTGGAAGACATGAATGTGTTGCAGGTTTTTGACCATAAGTATCTTCGAAGCACTGCTCGCATATTGTGGAACGACCGAGTGAACAATGCTGAGGTTGGAAATAGAGTACTAGGCAAAGATGGTCAACCGGTTTCATGTGGTTGTGAACCCCCATCGACTGAAGTAGTTGAGGCATGTGTTGTTTATACTCAGACACCATATACCTCAAAGTTCAGTATTGACTGGAGCCAGACTGTCAGAATAAATCTAAGAACTGTTAAACCAAGACGTGACACCAACCCGAGGTAGGTGACTGTTGGTCTAACTCATGTGTGATAGATGCAGTTTACCTGGTTGGGGTCCACAAAATAACTGATATTAGTGTTTTGAGACATTAGATAAAATGGTTCCCAGTCGTTGACAATAGTGCAGATCCATTTGTTCTTTATCTTTCTCTACATTTTGAGTTCTAGTATCTCTCCATACATATTTTTACGTTCCTTCTTCTCGAGCCATATTTCCAACCTATAGTTTTTGTCAATAACATTGACACTACTATTATTTCGACTCCTTTGGTATTTATCTTATTTCTTTCATTTCATCATACAAATGTGGCATAGCAACTTGGATTAACGCGACATTTGTTGCAAGATCTTCGTTTGTTGTAGCTGACTGATAACAAGAATAATCGAGGTGAAAATTCACGTCAGTATTTTTGTAGCTCGAAGTAGATCATTACAGCTTAACATTATGAAAAACTATGTGCTACTAAACATATGTTCAGGACAAATAGGAAGTCGATTACTCGTATTAAAACGCTGATGTTCGGAAACTAAAACTAATCAAAGTATTTTTATGAAGAAATTTAGTAAGAATTGTAAACAGTTCTTTTTAAAAAACATTACTGTAAAATAGACAAGTCTTTTTACGAAACGTTAAAGGGAAAAATAAATTTACTAAGTGTAACGAAATTGAAGAGGTACGATTGACAAAATGAATTACCTTTTTTACAGTTTTAAACTTAGTTGTAACTAACTCAGGTAATGATCCTGTCGGTTTGATCGCCACTAATGTAATATCTAACAAAGTACACAAGTTAGCCAAATGATGACCATAATGTGATGCCAGCCAACCAGAATCAATGAAAACGCATGATATTTTCTTTCCTTGAGTTTCCTGGTTATTTCCATTTCTATTGCATACAGAACTCTCTAAACACCGAATAATCTCATTTGAACCCAGCAATATGTGAGACCTAATGATTGAGGCAATAAAATTTTGTTGAAGACTGTTTTTGGTGTAAGGGATAGTGCTAAAAACTATGAACTATAGAACGTAGATTCAAAAGGTTACACAGCAATAGAATGTAGTAGATACCATTGTTATAAAACCTTGGAGAAACAAATAGAATTTATTAAAACGAAAGTCACATACATTTACTTCTATGTAAATGTATGATTCTAAACTGCAATGAACGACATGAAACACGAAATTCCATCTATAGAGTAAGTAATGGTGAAAAAGCACAGGACACTAACCGTAAAATTAAGTTTAATCCATATTATTTACAACAAATAAAAAGCAAATATTGTGGAATTAAACGATAAATTATTAGCAAATTCAGTGGTCAAGTACATTTACCAACACTAGGTTGTGAACCACATTGGTGCAAGGATAACACTCGATTCCCGAAACTAAAGTTGATGAGACTAGGTTAGAATTTTAGGGATTGAAGGTTGTCTTCAATTCATTGGGGTAATAGGTCACAATTTTACGTTTAGAAAAACCTTCATTACTCACGTTGTAGTGAAGACTCCAAATATTTAGAAACGTAAGCGGTGGTTAAAATTGTCAGGTACACAAATATCCATCGTCTTGTGTTCCTCACTATTGATAAAATATCGTGCTCTACTATCGTATATAGACGGAACACGTAGTATGCCCATCAGTTTGTCATGTAGACTTCAACGAGATCTCCTAGAAAGATTTTATTTTCACTTCATTTAAAAACATAAATATTGGTACAAGGAAGCACCAGATACATATGCGCCGCACAAATCTCATTTGATTTATGTGAAGGCTGTGATACTGCCCAGGTGCCCTAACTGAAGCAAGTAGATTTCTTAGGGAGCCACACCCGGAGCCTTCGATCTAAAGGTCTGATACACAGGGCAGTGGAGCATCGTGAGGAGATGCAGTCCTGTGGTAGCCGGTGACCGACGATTGGTTCGTACGCCATTTGTTCCTTCAGGATTCTGGAGCCCATGTGCACCATTGGTTTGGAATCAGGGTTTTCCAACTTCCCTAGGTGGACCCTCCGTGTCCACCAACCCGGTTAAAGCGCCGGACATTCACTATTCGTCCTCTCAATCGCGTAAACAACACCCCTGCCACGAGAAGGCAGCGAGTAGGACTTCCCTGGCAGAGGCTATATATTCGCTGGCCATGTGATAGCATTTCGAGAAGGAGAGCGGACTATCCACAATCTCGGCCGTACCTGGGCATTTGGAAAATAGTTTACTGGGTTGGAAATTAGTTACATACACTAGTCTACTGTGCGGGGAAATCTAAAAAATATCATAAAACCATTCAGAATGATATATACTAAAAACAATGAAGGAAATCTATCTCAACTATTAGTTACGATAGTCGCTCGGACTCCAACAAAGTAGTCTGCATCTACCCACATGGCTCAGATCAGAAATTGGTCAGTCAGTCAGTCAGCTACAACGTAGGACCAGGCACATATATGCATCGGTCCAAGTTGCCATACCTCGTTAGCACAACAAGATCAACACCGGATTCATAGAAAAAGTTAATTTAGTGGTGGTAGTATATAAAAGATAGGTTGTATATAAGGATATAGTATAGCAAGGGAAAAGTTATGAAGCAATTTTAATCTCAAGGTTTAAGAGAAGATAAAAAGTGTATACACCTACGCCATTGTGATCGATTCTGAGCCATGTCACGCAGTCTCTAACCATTGGTTACGATAGTCACGCGGACCCCAACCAGGTAGTCTGCATCTACCAACATGGCTCAGACTAGAAGTTAGGGACTTCAAGCACCGATGCCATGTTTTGGTTTGGCCGCCCCTAACTCTTTTCCAACCATCCCCTACACTAGTCAACATTGCGCGTCGTGGTAATCGGTGTTCAGGCAAACGTAACACGTGGCCCAACCATCTCAGTCGATGAAGATTCATCACCTCATCAACTGATTTACCATCACTCCCTAATACCCTGTGTCTAACCTCACTATTACTTACCCGGTGATCCCAACAGATGACAGCAATATTTCTAAGGCATATGTGGTCAAATACTAGTAACTTACGCGTATCCTATACCCTTAATGACCACGTTTCGCAGCCGTAAAGTAGAACAGAGCGAACTGCCGCGCAGTATACTCGTCCCTTAATTGATAGACGGATATCTCGTCTTCGCCATAGGTGACGTAATTTGGCAAAAGCCAAACGAGCTTTTTGAATCCGTGCTGAGATTTCGTCAGACACCAACCCATTAGGGTTGATCAGACTTCCAAGATAAGTGAAGTTGTCCACGCGTTCGACTACTTCACTCCCTATCCTTAGTTCAGGTGTTGACGCAGGCCAGTCCTGGAGTAACAATTTACATTTGGATGGGGAGAAACGCATCCCAAACATTCTGGCATTATTACTCAGTTCCAACAGAAGACTCTGCATTTTGTCAGCGTCTTCACCAAACAAGACCATGTCATCTGTGTATTTTTAGTCAATAAGTGGACCTTCTGGTAGGAGACCAATCCCTGAAAATTCAGTCGACGAGAGTGTTATTTCCAGCAACAGGTCTATGATGAAATCAAAAACAAATGGATATAGTGGACAGCCTTGTCGGACACCACTTGAGGTTGCAAAGTCAGATGACAGTTGGCAATAAGCTCTCACTCGACTGGTAGTGTTCGAGTAAAGAGCCCTCAAAAGGTTCATGTATTTCTGAGGTACACCTTTCAATGACAGACACTGCCACAGAACCTCTCGGTCTACAGAGTCAAATGCTGCTTTCAAGTCAAGAAAAACTATCATTGTCGGACGCCGATAAGCGTGTCTGTGCTCTAAAACTTGACGAATGGCGAATATGTGATCGATACAGCCACGACCAGGTCTGAAGCCAGCCTGATTTTCTCGTGTTTGCAGTTCACGAGTCTTAGTTAGGCGCCTAATAATTATTGAGGCTAGTGTTTTAGATGCTATGTTAGTCAGACTAATCCCTCTATGGTTATCACAGGATGATTTTGTCCCCTTTTTATATATTGGGACAATCAGTGATTGTGACCAGTCAGATGGGATTACGTCCGTCTCCCAGATTTTAGCCAGAACCTAATCGCTAAAATTGGACCACCATTCTTAACGACCTCTGGAGCCAATCCATCAGGACCAACTGCTCTTCCTCGTTTCAGATTGCTTATAGCCCTTTGAACTTCACGTAGGGTCGGGGGGCCTACTTCAATGTTCCATTCAGGTTTTCTGGGAATTGTGGGTAGTTGTGCAGTAGCTGAAGGCCAGCTAAACTGCTCCTTAAAGTGTTCCGCCCATCGTTCTAAACGTCTAGACTGAGAGCAGATAAGGGTTCCGTCTCACTTACACTTGACTTCTTAATTCCGGTTTCTTTTATTAGTCTGAATAGTTGCCTAGTGTTGCCTACAGCCGCTGCCTTTTCCATCTCTTTTGATGAGGTGATGAATCGTCATCGACTGAGATGGTTGGGCCATGTGTTACGTATGCCTGAACACCGATTACCACGACGCGCTATGATGACTAGTATTGGGGACGGTTGGAAGAGAGTTAGGGGCAGCCAAACCAAAACATGGCATCAGTGTTTGAAGTCACTAACTTCTAGCCTGAGCCATGTTGGCAGATGCAGACTACCTGGTTGGGGTCCGCGTGACTATCGTAACTAATAGTTGAGATAGATTTCCTTCATTGTTTTTAGTATATATCATTCTGAATGGTTTTATGATATTTTTTAGATTTCCCCGCACAGTAGACTAGTGTATGTAACTAATTTCCAACCCAGTAAACTATTTTCCAAATGCCCAGGTACGGCCGAGATTGTGGATAGTCCGCTCTCCTTCTCGAAATGCTATCACATGGCCAGCGAATATATAGCCTCTGCCAGGGAAGTCCTACTCGCTGCCTTCTCGTGGCAGGGGTGTTGTTTACGCGATTGAGAGGACGAATAGTGAATGTCCGGCGCTTTAACCGGGTTGGTGGACACGGAGGGTCCACCTAGGGAAGTTGGAAAACCCTGATTCCAAACCAATGGTGCACATGGGCTCCAGAATCCTGAAGGAACAAATGGCGTACGAACCAATCGTCGGTCACCGGCTACCACAGGACTGCATCTCCTCACGATGCTCCACTGCCCTGTGTATCAGACCTTTAGATCGAAGGCTCCGGGTGTGGCTCCCTAAGAAATCTACTTGCTTCAGTTAGGGCACCTGGGCAGTATCACAGCCTTCACATAAATCAAATGAGATTTGTGCGGCGCATATGTATCTGGTCCCGACCGTTGCTGCTACCTTGACGTGGTGGTCGGGCTTGCCTATCGTGATGAATCAACCGAGCTATACTGGCTGGAACAATCGTTCCTCAAGGTCCTACCATGCCAGGCAGGTCGTTTGAAGAGCGTTGAGACTAAAAGCAGCAAACCCAAGGTCCGAAGGCGAAGTCGTACTGCTGACTGTACAAAGGTGTGACAGCAGTAAGGTGTTTCCTTCAGACAACCAGCATGACAGCGATGCTGCCTCCCCACAAGGAGGGGTGGGGTTAGAAAAGGTCGACCCTAAAAATGCACACCTCGCCTTATCCCACGGATTTCCGTCTCCGGCGGTAAGGTTCTTTGAAGAACGGAGCTAACACAAAAACTACCCACAAAAAGTTCGTGTGTGACTGACCTCAAGCAGTTGTCCCTTGGGCACTGCGGTTACGCTCTCAGGTCATTAAGACCACTTCTAACCCAATTTCCTTTTCAGGTACCCCTAGAAGAACCTTTACACGGTGTGGGCAACCGGGAAGTGATAACTGCACTCATACCTCTAACAGCAGTCAAGACCACTGTATTCATAATCAATCTCCTTCAATTCCAACTATTCCTTCTACCTTGACTTTCAACACTAAACTTCCTCTTTCGGCTTCCTCCTCAAGTGTCACCATGGCCAACGATTCTAGAGCTCGAAACGCTGTCCCAGGTCTGCTAAAACCTCGCTCCAAACTACACATTGGAGCCTTCAACGTACGTACCCTATGCCAAATCGGTCAACAGGCCACCTTAGCTAAAACCCTAGAATCTCGTACTATTGATGTATGCTGTGTCTCCGAAACACGCATACAGGATCCTAGTGTGGTCATTCACTTGACCTCACCTCGCCAAAATGGACAGCCAACGAAATACACCCTCCGTGTATCTGGCGACCCGTTGGCTAGTTCTCGAGGACTTGCAAGTGTAGGCATAGCACTAAGTGCAAGAGCAGAACAGGTACTACTAGAATGGATCCCCGTTAATAGTCACCTGTGTGCTGTCCGGCTAAATGGCTCCGTAAGAACTCGGAAGGATAGGGACACACGTCGTTGCCTTTTCGTCGTTTCTGCCTACGCTCCCACTGACTGCAGCCATGATGAAGTGAAAGACGACTTTTACAGAAAGATCTATGAGCTTCTTCAGAAAGCTAAGCGCTCAGACATAGTAGTCGTAGCAGGTGACTTTACTGCCCAGGTAGGCAGCTTAAATCAAACAGAAAGACATTTAGGTGGGTGTTTTAGTATTCCGGCTCAACGAACCGATAATGGTGATCGTCTGTTGCAACTATGCTCAGACAATCGTTTATTTCTAGCAAGCACTAATTTTAAGCATAAGGAGAGACATCGTCTAACATGGCGACCACCTGCACCAAACCAACGATGGATTCAAATAGACCATATTGTCATCATTCATCGTTGGAGAGGCTCAATAGAAGATTGTCGCTCGTATTGGAATACTTTTTTAGACTCTGATCACGCTTTAATACGAGCGCGCATTTGTCTGCGCCTCAATGGACGCAGGAAAAATACACTAAGAAGAACCATTAGGATTGAACTGGAGGACGAGAAAGCCAAATGCGAATTCCAGAAACGACTGAGTTCACATCTAGGCAGCTCTGTAAACGAGACTGACCCAGATGCGGCTTGGAAAGACATACGAACAACTGTGGAAACAGCAGTAACATCTACTAGTTATTTAAACCATAGGGCACAAAAAAAACCAGTGGATTTCCTCTAAGTCTATTTCACTGATGGATTCGCGTAAACTCATCCCATCAGGCTCTGAACATGACGAAGAGAGTAAACAAATTAGATCTAGGTTAACTAAAAGTCTAAGGAACGATCGTGAGCAGTGGTGGGCAACGAAATCAAAAGTCAGTCAGTCAGCTACAACGTAGGACCAGGCACATATATGCATCGGTCCAAGTTGCCATACCTCGTTAGCACAACAAGAGGAACACCGGATTCATAGTAGTTAATCTAGTGTTGGTAGTAGTATATAAATTATAGGTTGTATATAAGGATATAGTACAGGAAGGAAGAGAGATATGAAGCAATTTTAATCTCAAGGTTTAAGAGAAGATAAAAAGTGTATACACCTACGCCATTGTGATCGATTCTGAGCCATGTCACCTAGAGTCTCCAACCATTGGTTACGATAGTCACGCGGACCCCAACCAGGTAGTCTGCATCTGCCAACATGGCTCAGGCTAGAAGTTAGTGACTTCAAACACTGATGCCATGTTTTGGTTTGGCTGCCCCTAACTCTCTTCCAACCGTCCCCAATACTAGTCATCATAGCGCGTCGTGGTAATCGGTGTTCAGGCATACGTAACACATGGCCCAACCATCTCAGTCGATGACGATTCATCACCTCATCAAAAGAGATGGAAAAGGCAGCGGCTGTAGGCAACACTAGGCAACTATTCAGACTAATAAAAGAAACCGGAATTAAGAAGTCAAGTGTAAGTGAGACGGAACCCTTATCTGCTCTCAGTCTAGACGTTTAGAACGATGGGCGGAACACTTTAAGGAGCAGTTTAGCTGGCCTTCAGCTACTGCACAACTACCCACAATTCCCAGAAAACCTGAATGGAACATTGAAGTAGGCCCCCCGACCCTACGTGAAGTTCAAAGGGCTATAAGCAATCTGAAACGAGGAAGAGCAGTTGGTCCTGATGGATTGGCTCCAGAGGTCGTTAAGAATGGTGGTCCAATTTTAGCGATTAGGTTCTGGCTAAAATCTGGGAGACGGACGTAATCCCATCTGACTGGTCACAATCACTGATTGTCCCAATATATAAAAAGGGGACAAAATCATCCTGTGATAACCATAGAGGGATTAGTCTGACTAACATAGCATCTAAAACACTAGCCTCAATAATTATTAGGCGCCTAACTAAGACTCGTGAACTGCAAACACGAGAAAATCAGGCTGGCTTCAGACCTGGTCGTGGCTGTATCGATCACATATTCGCCATTCGTCAAGTTTTAGAGCACAGACACGCTTATCGGCGTCCGACAATGATAGTTTTTCTTGACTTGAAAGCAGCATTTGACTCTGTAGACCGAGAGGTTCTGTGGCAGTGTCTGTCATTGAAAGGTGTACCTCAGAAATACATGAACCTTTTGAGGGCTCTTTACTCGAACACTACCAGTCGAGTGAGAGCTTATTGCCAACTGTCATCTGACTTTGCAACCTCAAGTGTCCGACAAGGCTGTCCACTATATCCATTTGTTTTTGATTTCATCATAGACCTGTTGCTGGAAATAACACTCTCGTCGACTGAATTTTCAGGGATTGGTCTCCTACCAGAAGGTCCACTTATTGACTAAAAATACACAGATGACATGGTCTTGTTTGGTGAAGACGCTGACAAAATGCAGAGTCTTCTGTTGGAACTGAGTAATAATGCCAGAATGTTTGGGATGCGTTTCTCCCCATCCAAATGTAAATTGTTACTCCAGGACTGGCCTGCGTCAACACCTGAACTAAGGATAGGGAGTGAAGTAGTCGAACGCGTGGACAACTTCACTTATCTTGGAAGTCTGATCAACCCTAATGGGTTGGTGTCTGACGAAATCTCAGCACGGATTCAAAAAGCTCGTTTGGCTTTTGCCAAATTACGTCACCTATGGCGAAGACGAGATATCCGTCTATCAATTAAGGGACGAGTATACTGCGCGGCAGTTCGCTCTGTTCTACTTTACGGCTGCGAAACGTGGTCATTAAGGGTATAGGATACGCGTAAGTTACTAGTATTTGACCACATATGCCTTAGAAATATTGCTGTCATCTGTTGGGATCACCGGGTAAGTAATAGTGAGGTTAGACACAGGGTATTAGGGAGTGATGGTAAATCAGTTGATGAGGTGATGAATCTTCATCGACTGAGATGGTTGGGCCACGTGTTACGTTTGCCTTAATACCGATTACCACGACGCGCAATGTTGACTAGTATTGGGGACGGTTGGAAGAGAGTTAGGGGCGGCCAAACCAAAACATGGCATCGGTGCTTGAAGTCCCTAACTTCTAGTCTGAGCCATGTTGGTAGATGCAGACTACCTGGTTGGGGTCCGTGTGACTATCGTAACCAATGGTTAGAGACTGCGTGACATGGCTCAGAATCGATCACAATGGCGTAGGTGTATACACTTTTTATCTTCTCTTAAACCTTGAGATTAAAATTGCTTCATAACTTTTCCCTTGCTATACTATATCCTTATATACAACCTATCTTTTATATACTACCACCACTAAATTAACTTTTTCTATGAATCCGGTGTTGATTTTGTTGTGCTAACGAGGTATGGCAACTTGGACCGATGCATATATGTGCCTGGTCCTACGTTGTAGCTGACTGACTTATATTTATCTGGTGCTTCCTTGTACCAACATTTATGTGTTTAAATAATAAAAATAACTATGTCTGAGTGTTTAATATCCACTGACTGAAATTACAAACATGTCTCATAGGTCTGAGAACCAACTTAAAAATAAAATCCCTACTTTAAATTTTAGTTAAGTGGCTTTAATTTGAGCTACCGAAGTATTATTTCATGTTTAACAATATACAACTTAATTTAGTCCTCATAACTTACTACTCGAAATAATAATAATGGATATAATAAACGTAACGTTGAATGAAAACACAATGTAACAATATAAAACCTGCTACAAGAGTGTGGTGGTTTGAATTGCTGCACTATCACAACATGAAGAAATCAATAGAAATTAGGAAATGTGATAAAATAAACAATGTAATAAAACGATGAACAACCAAGAGTAGATAAACGGTGAAGGAATTTTAACCAATGGTAACACATTTTAGCCAATTCATAAAAGACGACTTCCAACATTTTGAAGACCCCATTCACAAAGACTATGCCTTGTTTTATACTCACTTACCTAATGGGGTTCTGTCTTGTTGTAAAGTACCTCTTCAGTCTGATTTAAAATTTAGCTAGAACTAGTCAGTCATTCAGCAATAACGTAGAACTTCGTACGTACGTACATCAGCCATCACCTAAGCTAGTAGAAGTTTACAATCGCACAAATTGATTTACTTTTTCCATCCACAAATATGGATCTTACCTTGTAATTTAGTTTATAATGTTATCGCCTAAAGTTGAAGTTTCAGTCATAATCAAATACTGAATAAGTATTATAGGACGACAATAAACGTTTTCGTATCAAGAATCACAACACAAAAAAGTGCAATTACCAGAAAACTCGGCAATCCGAAACTTTTAACCATTCGTGTTTCATTTCTTTCCTTAATTGACGACGAGATTTTCCAATTTTTAAAAATTTGGCTTTAGATTCACTTTCTGACTGGACGTCACTGGAATCTGGGTCATTCTGGAGCGCTTGCAGTTTTTCGACCTCTATATCTATATCATTGTTTTGAAACAAACTAACATATTGATATAGATGGGATGAAGAATATAATAAATTAATTACCATCTGATTTCACTGCATAATGAGTTAGATTTATCAATAATTGAAATCCTATACATAAGTAGACTGTAAACCTCATATTTGTAAATTTACTTATCCAAAAATGCCAATGAACCGGGAACACACAAATATTTGGGGGGAGGAGCTTGCTTTTTCTTCGAAGTGTGATCTGTTTTTCGTACACAGTTCTTGGATTGTATGTAACTCGAAGCTAGTTCAGTCATTGGAGGAGGAGTAACCCTAAAAAAATGTTTGTTAGGTAAATCATTGCAATGGTACTCTATAACACTAATTGATAATTCCACACTAACTCAAAATTTTACACTTGCAACCATAAATGTGTTTTATGAGAGTTTACTCGTTTTTGTCAACGGATAAGTCTAACTTAACGAGTACAGACTACTAATCTCTAATATTATCAAAAATCCAAACTAAGCCAAATGTGTGTAATTTAGACTTTCATATTTTACTAATCAATATTTAGATTATAATTACTGTAAAGAATTGCTCTGACATGCTATGTTTACAGCGAAGTTTAATATGAAACATTTTTCAAGTCTTTCCGATATACTAAACTAAGTTGTGGAAACTCGGAGTGATACTTCGGTAACAAGCTTTTACGTTATCTAACTGGCTAAAATACAATGAGCACACGTTATATTTCACACCCTTCTGCTGATCAATATTATGAAATACCTGGCTTTATACTGCAATCCCAATAGTCAGAGGATCTAAATGGTTGATACTGAACAACTTTAGAGACAAACCACCCTAAGGGCCTACTCCACTATACGTTTCCAGTTTCAGTTTGGAAAGGACAGGAGGCTTGATGGCCTGTGTTAGTCCTGGCAATGATGGTCTCTCAGCTGATCCAACTTTCTTTTGAAGGAGTCGACGGATGGAGCCTCAACAACGTGCTGAGGTAATGAATTCCACTCGTTGATTATTCGATGGGAAAGTCGGTAGTCAGCTGACAAGTAATTCGTTCTGGGCTTATGAACTTTTTTGGAGTGTCCTCGTAGATTTTCTGTTTTGGAAGACAAGAAAAATGAGGGCATATCAGGTGCAAATTTGTCATTTAGCAATTTGAAAACTATAATCAAGTCACCTCTGATTCTTCTATATGACAGCGGGAATAGGTTTAGCTTGGTCAGTCTAGTACCATACGGGAGCTTCGCTATTCCGGGAATCAGCCTAGTTGCTGTTCTCTGAACCCTTTCCAAGAGTTCACTGTCTTTTTTTAGGCAGGGGTTAGCTGCTTGTATACAGTACTCAAGTTTAGGGCGTACGAACACTGTATACAAAGTCAAAAACGTTTTAGCGTCAAGATGCCTAAAAGCCCTGCGTATGGACCATAAAGTCCTAAAACCTTTGACGGCTATTGCACGGCAGTGTGCAGTAGTCCTTAAGTCTTGACTGACGACGACGCCTAAGTCGTTGTGTGCCTGAACAATAGGTAACTCAGTGTTATTCATCGTGTATGTATCTGTACCCTGATGGCCAATATGCATCACAATACACTTGGAAGTGTTTATCGGCAATTGCCAGGTTTGGGACCATTCAGATAATCTCTTCAGGTCATTTTGAAGTTCTAAGCTATCGCCCTTGCTTTGTATCGCTCTCCATATCTTGACATCATCAGCATAGAGTAAGACCGATGACGATAGTAGACGAGGGAGATCATTTACGTACAGGAGGAATAACACTGGCCCCAAAACTGTACCCTGGGGGACTCCACTAAGCACAGTTTCCCAGCTAGACAACTTGGAGTTCACCCGTACTCTTTGTTGACGCCCAACTAGGAAGTCTTTTATCCACATCAATAGATTGCCTCCAATCCCGACATTCCTTAGCTTATATAACAGCCGGTTATGCGGAACTTTGTCGAAAGCTTTGCTGAAATCGATGTAAGCTACGTCTATAGGTAATTTTTGGTCCTTAAGAGGGCACCAGCTTTCACGAGCGACTAATAAGTTTGTGAGACAAGAGTAACCTGTTCTAAAACCACGCTGCTTATCGGAGAGGATCCGGTTTTCATCGAGATACTTTAACAGTTCCTTCCGAATAATCTTTTCTAAGATTTTAACAACCACACTAGTTAGGCTAATTGGTCGGTAATTCTCAGGCTTATGTTTTGAACCTGTTTTGAAGACTGGACTTACTATGGCGTTCTTCCAGTCTTTTGGTAGACGACCCTGGGTTACGGATAGATTAAAACATACACTTAAAGGGTTCGCAACAAAGTTAGCTAATTCCTTTAATAACCTAGGATGCAGTTCATCGGGTCCAGTGGATTTACCTATGTCAAGCTTAACTAGCAGACCAAAGACATCGAGTTCTTTAATGGTTACGCTGTCCAGTGCTTGTGTGGGGGGATTTTCATGGACTGGTGAGAAGGGTGTTTCTATGGTGTATACATCGTTAAAGTATTTAGAGAATACTTGAGCTTTGCCAGTCATCCTCCACTAGTGATGTGGCAGTACTGTCTCCCCATAGTGAAGGAACATTTCTTCTTCTTTTTGTCCTTTGGTTTATATACGAATACAAGCGTTTAGGGCATTCTATGGATTCCCTAACGATTTTCTCTTCGTACAGCTTTCTGGCCTTACGGAGGGTCGAGGCACAGGTATTTCGAGCCTTTTGATACTGAGATTTCGCCTCGTCAGTCCCCAGTAACCTAAATCTGTCCCACATTTTCCTTCTTTTACGGAGAAGGATGCGAACCCCCCTACTGAACCACGGTGGGGAGTTTCTCGGTCTCTTAGGTGTAGTCCAAGGGATGTGGGGGGTGGTAACTTTTAAGTATAAATTCCGGAATACGTCCCAAGCCGTTTCGATTGATGACTCTGGATCTAATTTCCAATCTACTAATGATGCTGATTTCATGATGTCTGCTATGTTTGCTTTCCAGACGTTAGGTCTAGATTGAGCTGAAGCGTACTCGTGATCGACAGTTATATGGAAGTCAAAGCTTAAAACTGCATGATCACTTTTGCCTAGGGGTGGCATGTAATCCAGGTTTGCAACATCATCCTCATAATGAGTCAATATAAGATCTAGTAAGGATGATGCAGAACTCGGGTCGTACCTAGTTGCTTCCTTCACGTGTTGCACTAGAGCACATGTGATTATCGCATCAACTAGTTCCTGTTCGAAGTAGTTTGCTAACGATTCAGTCCGCAGATTTCCCCAGTCCACCATGGGTGCATTAAAGTCCCCTAGGATTAGACATCGATCACTTCGTGATAAAGTGTTGAGACTGCTTAGCAGGACCTCGTTTGCCTCACAGCTTGGACTGCGATAGATCAAACTAAGTAGCAACTCTTGTCCCCTGCATTTCAGGCGGCAGCAAACTAATTCGTACGTCCCACTCTCATGGGATACACTGTCGATAATGGTGAATGGAATAGCATTCCTAATGAATAGAGCTACTCCCCCTCCTTTACGCGTTTGTATTCTATCGGCCCTTACCAATGTAAAACCCTCGAAATCAAGTTCCCTACTATCTATAGACGGCGTCAGCCATGTTTCTGTGACTGCGATTATGTCTGGCCTAGTTGAGTCAATCTGTACACCTAGTTCCGGTAGCTTATTTAGTAAGCTCCGGGCGTTGGTATAACAGATCCGAAGCCTATTTAGGTGGCCTCGTGCTTCACCCAGAGTGGCTTCGGCATCATCCTCTGTCGAAGCCTCACAACCCGAAAATTTACAATTTTCAGGTCTTTTTCGCCAGCGTCTAATCTGAGCTGTAGTTCCTTTTCGGCTTCCCGTCTTTTAACACGGCCCGCCAACGGTAAGTCCTTACGGAGAAAAACTCCCGAACCCTTTAATTTGTGTCCATTTTCTAAGACTAAGTCGCGTTCGTTTGAGGATTTGAAAACGACTTTGAGTAGTCTAGACTGATTTGGTTTCAGATGCGCTAGATTTCCTAGTCTATACACCTTTAGCAAGGTGACTCCGGGGATGTTTTTGGGCATAACTTGGTTGAGTAGTTGTTTTATCAACACAATGTCATGCTCAAAACGAGCTTTCGGTTCTAAGTTGTCACTCTCCTTGACTCTATGGAGAATGACTGATCTGTCGCTGTGATCAAACCTCGGCTTGTCGACCCTTTTGGTGGGGGTATGATTTCCTTTTACGTCATTTTGGCGTTTTTTTCTTACGACCCGTACCCAATCGCCAACGTTCTTTGGAGTGGTAACCACATTCGCGTCAGGCGTACTGTGGGATTCCGGAAGAGTCAGGACGACTTGGGAGATCAGGTCATCTTTCGCGCTGGAAACCGATCGAGCCTTGCGGTTTCGGCTTCCGAAAGTTCCCTTCTGGGTACCATTTTTGATACGAGGGACAGAAGAGACTTTTTTGCGCGAGTTTCTGGTTGCAACAGTCCTCTTTGGAGGATGTTCTTCCTCCTTAGTAGAATGTGGGTCGGCAGTTTTTGGACTCACTTGGGCCTGCCTAATGTCAATCTGCGTGTCGACAGATTGAGTTCTGGCTGATGTATCCCGACCGCGCTTGCCGAGATACTTTTTTGCGGCATTTACTATTGAAATGGCCTCGGTTAGCAGGCTATTTGCATCCAAACAGCACTGTTGACATAGCCATACACACCCATTTTTACTAAACCGCTTGAAAGCTGCAGGTGTTAGATTCGTGCAAACACCGTGGTACCAACCTTTGCACTCATCGCACTGCATGCCGCTATCAACAGGATATCGACATCCTGGGCGGTGGCAAATGCTTTTGTTGCATCTTCCAGTCATTTTAGGATGCGAAAGTGAGTGTTGACTATAAGTAGAAAAAAAAAACTATAAACAGTTAGGACCAAAGTACTAACAGACACAATGGAAAAAAAGGTACTCTGGAGTACCGACGATAAAACTATTTAGGATACCAATGATACTCTAATAGAATACTTTAACTGAAAGAAATTCAATCAAAGTATAAAAACAGTAGTCTTGATACGTTAATAACGATCAAAACAATAGAATTTACTCAACGAGGAAAAATACCACTGACCTTTTTAAATAGCGCGCCGAGTATTAATGCGATATTAGAAGTAGTGATGATACCTACTGTTACTAACGCGAGTCTGTTATTCTTATTGCAGGGCAGTAAAAAGTAAACGTGCTGGAAGACGAACAAGCCCTACGTAAGCTGAACCTGCAGTACGATAGATAAAACTATTTTGTAATAAATTTTCTCTTTCTGTACTCGAACCGCGTCTTTCAACTTTAAAATACATATCTGTTGTGCCAGTACGCCGCATTCTTACTTTAGAGGCATTTACCGGTCCTGACTGTTATGTTGTTGTTTCAGATCACTCCTGCTTCTAGGTGAACGCTATTAGCGCCACACAGTTACCAGTTAAAGATTGCGCCACCTTTCTATTAACATTCTGATTGGTTTAACTTTATAGGCATTCAAACAAAATGGTTCAGATAGTTGTGGACGGAATAGAAGAAGCTTTCGCTTAATGTGCTTCCGTGTCAAGTAGCAGTGGATCACCAATACCTCCAGGCAAAAACCTAGGTATAATAACGATAATAGAGGAAAAAAATGAATTTGGTAAACCATAATAATATGTTGTCCTTAGTCCTTAAGAATAAGTCAAGTTTCCTCTTAAAGAACTCCTGGGAAGTCGCTTGGACTAGCTCAGTAGGCAGCGAATTCGAGCATCTAACAACTCTTACGGAGTAGAAGGTTTGCTTGAAATACGTTTTTGTCACAGTTAGCGTATGACTTCAAGTCGTAGGGTAACAACACACTTAAATCCTTTTCTACTTGGAAAACTTCTAAAGAGGAGTTTCCTTAGTTGTAATTATAGTCTGCGACATGTCGCAGATGGACTACTTTACACTTTGACGTAATGAAGGTAAGTCAGTTGTTGTCTGCACAACTTTGAAGTCGAGTCAGATCCTCCTGAAGTGCTAGTATATCCTCTTGGTAACGTATCTCTCTCCAAAGTTTCACATCATCAGCGAAAAGCAATAAGTCAGATGAAACTTGTTGTGAAAGATCGTTAATGTAAATCAAGAAGAGAAGATGTCCTAGTATTGATTCCTGAGGGACCCCAGTAGGACATTCCATAGCCTGAGAAAGAGTGGAGTTAACCTGACCTTAAAATGTCGGTTTTCTAGATATGAAGTGAGCCAGTCAATCAAAGGGGGTTTGATACCCAATCGTTTTAGTTTATTGATAAGACATATGTGGCCGACCCCCATCAAAAGCTTTTGAGAAATCAATTTAAATGACGTCAACCTTCCCCTTGCGATCAAGGATGGTTGTCCATCTATCCACCGCAGTCAGCAGTTTGATCATACAAGAATGACCCTTACTGAAACCATGTTGTTGGGGTGGGAAGAACTTTAGGGATAATAAGCATTCGTGTATACCGTCGTATATTAGAGACTCCATCATTTTAAAAGGTATGGAGAGAAGGGCCAGTGGTCGGTAGCTTGAGGGTTCACCGCGTCGACCTTCTTTGAAAATTGGTGTGATGTGAGCCAGCTTCCAAATTTCCGGCAGTATTCCTCTGCTTATCGAGTGTGAAAACATCACGTTAAGTGGTGTCGCCAGGATTGAAGCTGCTTCCCTCAGTATATCAGAATGAACCATAACCGGACCGGGAGAAGTGTCTTTTCTTATGTGCTGCAGTTCACCGAACACCACGTCAGAGCTCAGGTCTACTTCGGAAAGTCCTATGCAGGTACTGGTGCAGCTTTCGTCAGTATAGTTGATGTGGGCCGGCTGAAATGTCCGAGAGTATTGTTAAGCCAAAAGATTGGCAGCATCACCGTCTTTATCGGTCGGACCATTAGGACCAAGCAGTTGGGAAACTCCAGTTTTGCCTTGTCGAAGAGAAGCTGCGTAACACAATAAGCTTTTCGGGTTGGAGACAAATTTATCGATAAGCTTGATCTGGTACTGAACCCTGTCTTCTCTTATTGCCTTTGCGCATATGTTCTTCATACGTTTGTATTGCATGTACGCGCTATTGTTATCATTTCGTTTGTATTCTGCCTAACAGTGCTTTTTGCGGCTTATCAAACGAAGAGTGCAGTTCCTGATGACTGCAGGTTGCCTGTAGCTTTTGGTGACCGTTTGAGGAACAGACTGCTCTGTAGCATACAAGAGCGTGTGCAGTAAGAAATCCTAATGAGTGTCCACTTCAAGTTGAGGGTAAGCATGCCAATCCACCTGTTATAGATAGTCCTGTAAAGTTGACACATTCAACCGTTTGAAATTCCAGCGTCTGTTGTTGACAAGATGTCTTAGCTGACTTATGATGACAAACTGAAGGTTAGGACGGCGTGTTCACTGCCCCCAGGGGAGCCGGAATTGAGGAGTCTCAGACTAGGTATTCATCATTTGTGAATACCCAGTTTAAGCACGACGGCGTCTGACTGTTTCTCCAACGAGTTGCTGACTTCACATCTTCCAATAATCCCAGATCATTGATAAGGTTGAAGAATCGAGCTTCAGTAGAGTTGTCACCTCCAGTGTAGCAGAGATCAGTTCTATGCTGGGTCCACATTTCACGTCAACAGATCGTTGTTAATTGATTCCTTTACTGTTATTGTTATCCACTATGCACCATAAGATGGTGGTTGGAGGTGGTCAACAGGAAACCCTGTACCCGGGTTTCGAGCTACTTGGCACTTGTCAGCAAGGTGTACCTGTAATCTTGAGGGAACTGGTGCTCCCTGACGGATTTGATCCCGTGTCACTCAGCTTCATAGTCAGAGACGTTACCACTGAGCTATTCGGGCAGCGCCTGACCTCCTGTAGGACTGAGATGTAATTACAATTGATTGATCACCGGGTGGTGATCAATGTCATGCGTGTCAAGTCCTTCTTAGTGCTGATCGAATGCACTCGATCCGTACATTATAATTTCTTCCAGTCTGTCGCGGTTCCATAATACCACTAAATTCCGCTGACTTCGTGGCTGTGTGGAATTCTTTGAAGGAATTTTTTGGCGCAAAGATCGGAGTTGCCGCGTTGTGGCGACTGAGTGTCCTGTTGGGTGTTAGCAAGTTGTTGATCATAACTCATACTGTACTGATTATGTTTACAAATCATAACTGTAACTCTTGATCATGGTGTATAAACTGGATAAATAAACCAGAAATACCTCTTTCTTGCTCGTCTGCAGGCCTTGTAAGAGGGCAGTTATGTTTGTAGAGTGGACTTTGTTACTAATCCAAAACCTTGGTCCTGTTAAATTGTGGAAACGCATAGTAGTAAGTACCGCCCTTCCTGATAATATCCCATGAATGCACCAAGGTCTTATGTTTTAATACTAATCTGGAAACTAGGGGTGATGCATATCAAAGTACGTATTGTATAGAGGTAAACAACATTTCTACTTTCGTTGCCTTTCAAATGCCGTTGGAATATTCGTGGGTATTGGTGGACTATAAAGTCGTATTTCTAGAATTTTTCACCTTTAGGTCTATTTTAAACACGTGCATTTTGAATGATTATGAATTTAATGAAAGTACACGTGCCTAATATAACCTACTGGCTAAAATAACCAGCTGAAGAATTGCATCATGCAAACCTTACAACTAGTCTTCCTCATTGCTCATAAGGAACATGCCTTTACCGAAACAATCTAACCAAATGTTGTTATTATGTCAGTTCAGTCAGTAGGTGGGTTTCAGGCGTGACCCAATTAAGAAGTATCTCGAAGCTAGTACTCGGGAGTTGCGAGAAAGGGAACGTTGAAAATAACACATACACAACTCGTAATTCGATCATTCGTATCTAACCAGATTGATCATTTGGTTAGCGAATAAACTTGAAGAATGCCCATACTTGGTCTACAACTAGAGCGCGAAATTACGAAACTAATCCTAAGATTCGAAGTTTTCGGGTAGTACGATCTTGAAAGTCAATGCTTCAGGAACGTGTATATGCCGCAAGAGTAATTATCAAAACACCTCAGGTGTGTGTAGCGGCAAATAAATCCCAAAAACCAACAGTTATGTAAGTCACCGACATCTTATACTGACCGCATTAATTTTACTGGGCTTATCAAGCTGAAGGCACTCGGTCACGTATCCACACCATATCACGAGTGAGTACACCGTACTTCACATCTCCTACAACAGCTAACTAGCCTAGATTAATCACTTCCCGAAATATTGACAGCCTTTCAAATATAACTTCGAACCTCTTTACTTCTGAGTTGGCATACTTTGATTATAAAGGTGTTACGTGTGTATGCGTTGTAGAACTCCCAATACTTGTGACATCTTTACGTTCTTAGTCCTAAAAATAAAACGTCGGAGCCAAGTTTGATGACGAATAAATTAAATCCAGACACAATTGTTGTCACAGAAATGTATGTAAATCAGTAACCTAGATTATCTGTGTCGAATGATAAGCGGGCGAACTCCAGTTAGACGGGAATGATGTGACGGACCAGATAACGTCGAAGTCACATTTCGTGATTAGCATCTAACGTGGATTACCCTTATAGTGAACGGTATACATTTATTAAGACATTAAATAGGAATGATTGGTTGAGCAAACAGTTCTCTTTTCAACGAATTCATTCTCAAGACGTACGTACTTACGCCTGTTCCTCCAAATGCCACATAAACCGTTAACCAGCATTCTCCAGCCCACTTTGTCCTAAGCTTTCCTCTTTAGTTCTATCCAGTTTTCGTTCATTCTTTTTATATCTGTCTCCATTTTTAGGTGCAATGTGTTGTTCGGTCTTCCACTTTTCCCATGGCCTTCAGGATTCCACGTGAGTGCTTGTCTTGTGACGCAGCTAGGTGCATTCCTCAATGTGTGCCCAATCCACTTCCAGCTCTTCTTCCTAATTTCTTCTTCCTCAATTGATTGTTCCAAAATGATCCGCAGAGTTGCGATTTGGTCTGTACACGATCGATCTTTAGGGAATCCAGCCTGTTGGTCTCAAAGTTGAGCGTCTACGGAATCCTCCATTCTGTTTAACAATACCCCGTTGAAGACTTCCTCGCATTGAGAGAAGAATGATGCCCCTGTAGTTATTGCACTTGCTGAGATCGCCTTTCTTTGGTATCTTGATCAGAAGTTCTTCTTTCCAATCTGCTGGTACTTATTCTTCATCCCAAATCTTACTGAAGAGAATGTGGAGTATCTTCGCAGTTGCTGCTACATCTGCTTTCAGTGGTGCTGCTGGAATGTAGTCTGGTCCTGTTAATTTGCCGCTCTTGATTTGTCTGATGGCCATACTGATCTCTCCGATTGTTAGTGGGCCAGTATCTATTGGGAGGTATGTGGGCGCTACTTCGATGTTGGGTGGATTCAGTGGAGCTGGTCGATTCAATAGTTCTTTTAAGTGTTCTACCCACCTGTTTCGTTGTTCTTCAATGTCGGTGATTACTTTGCCTTCCTTGTTTTTCACTGGTCGTTCCGGCTTACGGTAATTTCCAGCGAGTTTCTTTGTTGTATCATACAGTTGTCTCATGTTACCTTCTCTTGTAACCTTTTCCGCTGTCATTGCTAAATCTTCTACATATTTATGTTTGTCGCTTCTGATGTTCCTCTTCATTCGCTTGTCTCCTTCTGTGTATTCGTCTTGTGAGTTGACTTTTTCTGCTCTTGTTCGTCTGGTATTGATTGCTGCCTTCTTGTTCCTACTTTCTTCAATCTTATCCAGTTTACCAACAGTGATGTATTCCTTGTGGTGGTTATTTTCGATGCTCAGAACCTCCTGACGTGTTGAAGTGATTGCCTCTTTTATTCATTTCCAGTTGTTCTCCATGATGGTTCGCTCTCTAGTGAGTATATCGTGCAAGGCTTGGAACTTATTGTTGAGGGCTATCTTGAATTTGCTGAGTTTGTCAGTATTTGATGCGTTATCGATATATCGAGGAGCGATTGATCTAATCTGGCTAGTGATCGTAGGAGATGTTTCCCACGCTGTGCTGTAACGTTATCTGGTGCGGATGCATGACCAAACACCTGCAGCTAAACAAGTCCGCTAAAAATAATGTGGTCAGCATCCAATGTCGAACACTTAAACAGCTATTGATTTACAGCTGCACCGTCTAACTGGAGTAGGCTCCCAACCATTCGACACAGATAACTTACATTAGTGATTAACATTGATGAGCGAGTCTTTGGATTACGTAGTTCACTATTATATCTATTATTGCATCTTACACTTATCCCCTTCCGCTTCTATCATCGCTAAGGTTCTTCAATTTTTGTGAACATTTGATGCCTTATATCAATATTGATTACTTTTTGAGATTAACGAATTAGTTCAGTAGATAAAACTACCCGACCAAATACGATTATAATTGAGTGTCATGTGACATGAATTCTGAAGTCGCGATCGCCATTGAGGGACATCATTCACCTACTGAGTCGTGTTCTTAATATCTCACATTTGTTGTTAACTGATATACATAATTGCTGACGATATACTTAACGCTTATACGAGCTGGAGTGCCACAAATGACGGCTATTAATTTCATATCAGATGTACCTGACACTCACTGTTAACAAATCTTGTAACTCAGTTACTACAGCTGCCAATATTTTGTGCAAATCGATTTGTTTTCTTTCACCACAAAATATACTAACCGTGAATATGTCACTGACATACAGAGCTACAAGACGACCTTTGATAGGCCGTAACTGCTGGTTAGGACTTATAGACACTGACAGGCCACTATAATTTAGTTAAAATTTCAGTTCGTCGAAGTTCACCTTGCGAAAGCAAGTGTTTTTAATCCTCAGATGATTTGATTTCAGTTCAACATGGCAGCACACTCCTACAGCGAGAAATTTCAGCTTGATATTATGGCAGCTAAAGAGCACACTTGTTACGGATGTCTAAAATTTTAAGGATATTCGTTTGAGAATGGCTAGTAGAATTCCATCGACCTTCCAAACCGTAATATCACCTTCCTTTACCTTACCACTAGCACTTCTCTTTAGCTTTTGCTTCGTTGACAGATGCACAGGTGGCAACATTTCTGTTAAGGTAATTTCCAAGTATGGTAGAAATGTCACGTCGGGCTCACCACTAAAAATCCCGCAAGTATTGGGAGTTCTACAACGCATACACACGTAACACCTTTATAATCAAAGTATGCCAACTCAGAAGTAAAGAGGTTCGAAGTTATATTTGAAAGGCTGTCAATATTTCGGGAAGTGATTAATCTAGGCTAGTTAGCTGTTGTAGGAGATGTGAAGTACGGTGTACTCACTCGTGATATGGTGTGGATACGTGACCGAGTGCCTTCAGCTTGATAAGCCCAGTAAAATTAATGCGGTCAGTATAAGATGTCGTGGACTTACAGAACTATTGTTTTTTGGGATATTTTTACCACTACGAACCCTAAAAGCTTTCAAAATGTTGGATCTGCTATCTTCATTATCTACGAAGTATATATCATCCGACCGGTATACCATAACCCATATAGTTCACTCCAAAAGTATACCAAATGGATATCTTGCCAACAGTACGAAAGCTTTGACTGTTTCATTCGTTTGTCCCGAGGAACTATTAAAGACGGTATACTCGAATACGTTTTGCAACACAGTTTTGATTAAAGCTATATTCATATATTCCATAAGCGTAAGAAAGACTTACATCATAAAGGGAGGAAAGGTGACGTTAATTACCATTCTGAGGTTTTAATAAGAACGAGTGTCGTCGATTTGACTAGTACAATAAACGCGTTATTTGAAAACCTTGAGGTGAATAACTTCACTTGATGGTTTTTAGGCCTGGTGTTAATTTGATCAACCTATATAAATCATATCTCAAAATAGTTTGTGTTTAAATATTTGATCATATTAAGTTATTTAATTTTACTAGCAAACTAATCTATGTCGCTCACTAAATGTTATGTTTGTTCTTGATTCATATGAAAACTTGGGTCAATTACTATATCTTCTGACCAGTCATGGCAATCGTATGACGACATCGTCAATATTACCATTTATATATATAAAATCGTTTATATGGGAAATCCAAATAAAAATTCATATAACAGTGAAACATGGATAAAAGTCGTTTGAGCCAAATGAGCAGAAGTGATGATCCCTTCAGAAAATATATTTACAGCTCAAGTTAGTTGGAAAGTTCGATGTCATTTTTGTCGGTGATTCAAAACCTCAGTGTTGTTAACAAGCTATTAACACAGATTCCATTGAGATTTTGAAATAATCTAATAAATAGATGAAAATCAGTTTAAGTGAAGTGATTTTAAGCAGTGATACAATAGAATTAATAGGAAACCTAAAGTACACTTACAGTTTATATTTATTCAGAACACTGTCTAAAGATTAGCAGAGATGGATAGTGGCTAGCAGTGGAATCCAGGACGCGCGTTTCGTCCTATTTGGGACTCGTCAGCTGGATGTACCTGCATCTCAGAGTTGATGTTCACTCTGGGATTCGAACCCAGTACCCTCGCTTCAGACGCCATCGCGTTATCCACTCGGCCACTGAGTCCTGATAGCCACTTGCTTGTGCGATGGGGTGAAGTTTAAATACAACTTAGTATTGTTTGTTTGAATCTTCCCATCGATGTGTTAGGACTGCAACTGGTCAGTCTCTAATTGGCATATGTGCATACGAGTCCCAAATAGGACGAAACGCGCGTCCTGGATTCCACTGCTAGCCACTATCCATCTCTGCTAACTATGCTTGTGAGTTAAGGTATATCGAGGCAATACGCACAGTATGCACATATGCCAATTAGAGACTGACCAGTTGCAGTCCTAACAAATCGATGGGAAGATTCAAACAAACAATACTAAGTTGTACTGTCTAAAGATGTTCTTAAAATTAGTTGACTTGGAATTTAGGATCTGTATTTTCCATTGACTACCTACATGTATCATAGTTGTATAAGTATCACTGGTGCAATTTTGTCTAGATACATGTCTATCATTATACATACATCAGAACTAAGATAACCTTGGGAAATTCATGCAAACCAAATAGTAGACACTTAAATTGTAAATGGGCTAGCGATTTTGAAGTGAGCAATAGCCAATAACTATTTAAAACAGGGATAGCAGAATGCGATGCTTTCAGATCATTTGTTTATCAAATTAGTGTCGTAACATCATGCAGTTCATTCCTGTTATGAAGGCATGAAATACATTTAGACTGAACTAAATAATTATTTAACTCATTTCGTCAATAATGAACTGAAATAAACGAGTTGAACACCACTTATTTATCTTCGCTTCAACACCAACATTTCAGACCAGGTGGTAACGTTAGGCTTTGATAAAAAGATTGGATTGATAAATCAGTAGAGTTGTATCTAGAGTTAATAAATACCAATTTATTTATTCCGTTTTATCATTTTGATGCTTCTCTTACTTTTAATAAAATTTGACTAGTGAGAATTATCTCTTCAATTTTGATTTCATGGAAATTAATACCTCACTTCCTTAGAAAACCCACATACCTATAGTAATCATTCATCTAATGTAATGAAAAGCAATAAAAACGTGTCATAAAAAACGCTCATTTTTTACGTACCAACGGCAATAAGTCAGAATTTCTTTACTGCAGATTTGCAGCTAAAGATCAGTAGTAAGTAAACCTAATCATACATTTTCAAACTACAACAACTAAAAAATACAAACTCAAGTGATAGCAGTACGAAATACGGTTGTATCAACAAAGGTACTTTCTAATCAAACATATAACGCATCCAAAGAAATGGAAGATAGAGGAAGACGATAAGATTACCAATATAAGTAAACATAACGTTGATTAATTTAACCCTTTAGTTGGTTCGAACTATATCAGCTGTCTAATTATTGATTCCCCCTTGCCATAGATCAAGAACTCAAGTTTTCTTATGATAACACAGAGACTGCATGTTTGTGATGTAATCTAGTCTGAATACTCAGTTATTTTTCCCTTACTCTAGCAAGCACATTTTGCTTAGATAGAGACGACGTATACTTTTATTACATCAACTGTAAAACACCAACGGTTATCACCATTAATCAATATTATTGATTAGGTATTTCGACTACACACAAACAGTGGGTTGAAGATGATTATTGACATACATTCAAAGTACTACTCTTTTTGACTACCTTCATTTAATTGCCTGGTAAGTAATGGTGAGAAGTATATGGTAACTTATAGCCTTTAGTTATCGATAATAAACAACAGAATTCAAAAAAAGGGAAAATACCGCTATCACTACATGATGCAATTCAGGGATTTATCTTTTGACCAGGTCACTACAATGTATTCTGCATCGAAAGTGGAAAACAATAAGAATGTAATTCTATTCCATTTCAAACCTATGATGACTTTCTATAATTATGGACACAACACAATCATGAAGACACCTGTTTTGTTTCACATAAATTTTGTTATTTTTTAATAATTTTTATCATGGTTAAGGAAACAAAGTCCATGCTGCACAGTAGAATGTAAACTGAACATGAAAGATAAGAAACAGGAAAAAAGATAACTAGCCAACCATTGAGACACTCTTAAACGTATGAATAAAAATATGAGTTGGAAAAGTGTGCATAAGTTGTGAATACAAAACAAAGACCACAATTTTAGTATCGACTACAAAGCGTTAAGCAACACAATGAAAAAGGGAAAGGTAGGAACAAAATCATAAAGGATAACACAAGAAATTAACACGAAAACGCAACGACTAGACCATAATATTTAGTTCGGAAACAAAAGAAATGGCAAAATTCATATGAAGATATTAAAGAAAGTGATTGGAAGGGTCTAGAAGACAAATCTTAGAAGAGACAAATAGGCAGCTGAGACAAACCATTTAAAGCAGATTCTGCTGTTATGTTGACCGATTACGATATAATAACGCAAAAAAATATATCAAGAGTAATAATAGTAACAATAAAATTTGGGTACATAAACTCCAGAAAAAAGTCAAACTCTCTGAAGGTTATCAAAATGCAAAATTGGGTCCCCGTAAGACGAATCACGAGTTTCGAAAAGCTCTTAAACAGTTGATAAAACTTAGTTTTCTTTCCATACTGCTGTCCAGATAAAAATTAATAACGGAAATACAGCAAAAATAAGAATTTTTGATGTAAACATACGATAAGACAAAAACAACTCAATTCTTATAATGTCTGATCGCTACTACATCATAGATGAATTCGAGGTGGCATCTGAATGCGAAACTGATGGAGACATCATAGGAAACCTTAAGGTATCAGTATTTTGTGAATCTAAACACACTTGTCTACTCTGTAAACCTGTTGAAGATAAATTTGACAAGATAGAACTATTGCAGTTAGAACTAATTAAATTTGAGTGGATGAAAGCACCGGCTGGTGATGAAGACCCAACGGGACCAAATGTAGTGAAATCAAAAGAGTTGGGCTTATCATCAGTGGGACTTCTCATCCCGAATTGAAAACAACTAGGTTCATTAGATGTCATGAATATTGAATGTGGGTTGATATTAGTAAAGTTGTCACATACTGAACTATTAAAATTCAAACTACTGTACGACTGAGATGATAGTTCTTCCTGATGACCAACTGTATGCACTGGATCTGTAGAATAAGAGTCAGCTACAATCCGAGGATTATAGGAACTAACTGCAGTTGGGGTTGTTGACATGGACTCAGTGACACAAACTGAAGAATTTGCAACCACTTCTAAAGACGGCAATGATAATGTTCCATTAATAGAGTGTGAATAATGCAAAACACTAGGAGCAATATCACCTTGTAAGAGGCTGGGAGGTGGAACAAACAAAGGCGGGGGTGATGAAGCTTGGGCTGCACTCCCGATTGGCAGTGGTCTGGTACTACACAACGGCATAGATCTGGCTGGTAAAACTCTATTTAAAACAGCATTATCATATGACGTGTATCCTCCATTCATACATTTCATACCAAGGGTTTCGAAATGATTGAGATGAAAGGCGTTTGAATTAGGTAGTTTATCCGAACGAAAATGCATTCTGTTATTTATGTGACAATGGTCATTTAGACTTGTTTGATAACCTAGTCCAGCATTAGTTAGTGATGACGACGATGGAATAACCTCGTCTGATGAAGTAAGATGGTCGAAATAGTCCAAATTATTAAGATTAGTGGAATTATTTATTTCAGAAATTCCATGAATTTTTCTATCAGTAACAGAAAAGGGGGATGTAAAGAAAGGCTTTGATTTGGCACAAGGATCAAAAAAATAAATGCTTGACTTTTGATTTGATAGATTATTTAAGGGCGCAGATGTCTCATATGGAGCCAATGAGTAGGACTGATTATAAGAATTCATTCTGTTTGCCGACACACTTTTAGAAACAATTCGGTCTACATGGTTGTGCTCATCTATTTGTGTCTTGTTAAAGTTTGTGTACATTTGTGAAGTATCTGAGACAGAATATGAATTAATTACACATTCTTCGTTAGGTATGCAATCTAAAGGGATTGAAATGTTTGAAACTTTAGCACAATTCGATGTTGAAGCATTCATTCTGCTTACATACTCACACAGATTTGGAGTAAGGCAATTTAAGCGCTTGTTAAGTTCGACGATTTGGTACTCTTTCTTTGTAAGTGTAGCTGAAATAGTAATATTTTTTTAAAAAAAAAGCTTATTGATTTCAACCAACAAATCACATTGATACTAAAAAATAGAGTAACTTATGAAAACACATGAGCTCTTGACTTCAACCTAGTTTATTGTCATTTAATAGCATTCGCATGCACATGCACACAACAACTCTCAGCGACAGATTTCTTTTTTAGCTGCGGCTAATTATGACGTTTAAACAGCAGGTCAGTCGAAATGCCTCATTTGCAAAGATCGTTAGTCAATAAGCTGAAGAATATTTATTTTATTTGAAGATACAAACATTGGTAAAGGAGGCACCAAATATATATGCGCCACACAATTATAAGGCCAGTAGTAGTTATCAGTGATTTGTGTGAGGGCTGTGATACTGCCGGGTGCCCAAACCAAAGCAGGTGGTTTTCTTAGGGGGGCCACTCCTCAATTCTTTGGCCTACAAGTTCAATCCACAAGGCAGTGGAGAGACGTTAGGAGATGCAGTTTCATGGTAGCTGGTGGCCAAATATAGGTTAATACGCCATTTTCCCCTCAGGATACTGGAGCCCATGAGCTTCATTGGTTTGGAATCAGGTTTTCTAACTTCCCTTGGTGGACCCTCTGTGTACACGGACCTGGTTGAAGAGCCGGACATTCGCTTTTTGTCTACTCAACTTCGTAAACAATACCTCTGCTGCGGGAAGGCACTGAGAAGGACTTCCTTGAGAGTGGCTGTGTACGCGTTGCCATGTGAGAACATTTAGAGAGGGAGGGTCGACCCTCCCCACCCTCAGTTGTACCAAGGCATTTAAGGGGGGGGGCGACTGAAGAATAATCATGGACCGGATTCGCATTGATATAGTCCTTATCTAGTGAGTGATTTAGGGGTGCTATATTCCGATAAGAATAGTGAATGGTAACATTTGGGATCCATTTATGGAGCAATACTATGTGCATATTTTTATCGTATAATTGTTAAGTAACTAAACTATTCATATTTATGTCCCTCTTATTATGAGTTTTATTTTGACCTATGAACTATTATTATACGATTTAACATTCTTGAGTTATGCCCTGTCTATCAATTACTATTCCCCTTATTCACAGCCAAATTTAGTTAAATCTTGTACAAATGTTGTTTTC